AACTAAATCTTGTATTTAAAGCTGTAGATTCTCATCTGCTTTTATTATTACTATCGTTATGGTAGGTGTTTTATCTTCTTCTTTTGTCAGGTCGCTGGATAGCAGGGAGTAACCTAGTGTCGTTGTCGTCGTCTGTATTTTTCTTGCGCTTCTCGGGTGGCTTGGCTTGGGTAATGATGGATTTGTTTCATCATATTTTTTGTGTGCATGTTTTAGCTACACCATTTATCCATCTCTTGATCTGTCCCTCGCCTTCTTCCCAGATATTCAGTTCTGCTGTAACAAATATTTGTTTACTCTATATTTATATTCAATTCTATAGGTCTGATTGAATTGCTGAAAATTTTTTTCCAGGGAGATACTTAAATCTTAGCCTCACTCAGTGGTGGATTCTGCTTTGATTAGCACAGTGGTTTAGTGTTTAATAATGTACTATGTACTGTGTATATGTTTATGGAGGGGCTAAAGATTTGTCTGCTCTATAGCCAGATAGCAAGACATGTTTTACAACGATCCTCTTTTCCTCATAGGCTAATTCAAAATTCTTTTCAAGAAGCGACCTAAATCTCAGTCAGTTAGTAAGATGTTAATTTTTGTGGTTTGATGTGTTTTTACAATTTACCATATAATAAGTAGGCTGTATATGCCTGGCTATTCCACAACGAGAAACGTTCTGCTTGGTTTTTTCACCCTCTCTTTCTGATAACTTTCAATTCTTGTTAAAGGCTATTCAAATCTTAGTTGAAGCAGTCCTCAACTGGGTTCTGAGACTTCATTTTTGTGGGGGGGGGGTGGTGGACCCACTGCTCCTCGCAACAAGCATGTCCTGAAAGGGGACTGTATATAATGAAAGGTTTGCTTAAACTAGTTGTGTTGGGCTGAAAGTGTAGATATTGCAGCCTATCTGTGAACCACAGCACAATGTGTCTAACCACCCTTGTAAGGGCTAACGCTGAAATTAAAGCAATAGATTCTGCTTTAATTATGGATTGATGTTTAGTTTAGTAATTCACCAGTCTGTTGTCATTTTCTAGATTTTGTGATTTGTTTTAATTGCTTAAAGTAGAGAACCCTTTCATTGGGAGCTTCCTTCGAAGTTGGAGTTAATCTTCCTGAGCGGCAAGGTATAACAGCTGCAAGCACATAAGCCAGTAAAATGGGTTTATATGCAAAACTCTAGCACAAAGACAAAGTCCAAATAGATGAACAGTCAGGACTTTTTGTTGTAGCTTACAGCCAGTGAACAAAGAATAAAAATTCCATCCATGATGTTGAAAAGATTGCACAGGAGGGAACGAAAAGAAGGAATAGACTAAGCGGTTCTCCTTAAAACTACAGCCACTTATTATGGAGTACGCCGGAGTTCAGTCCTCTGGCCGCATTTGCAATTATGGAGTGGAAAAGAGGGAACGACACAATTGACGTAATCACTGTGTGTTGGCGATAGATGCACTGCTATCATAATAGGGTTAGGGGTAGGGATAGGAGTGGCCGTAGTTTTAAGGAGTACCAATACCCTAACCCTGTTATGACAGCAGTGCATCTATCGCCAACACACAGTAATAACGTCACCGGTTCACGCTGTCTTAAGGAGAACCGACTAAGCCCTTTGTGGCAGGAAGCTGATGAAGATGATGATGACCAGCTCACATCAAGCCTTTAGTAGACGTTCCTAATTGGTTGAAATTTGCAGAGAGCTTTCAACGGGATGAGATGGTTGGTCTTCTAGCAACCCTCAAGCACCACTAATAAAATCATGTGTTGGGCCAACAGGCACAAATATCGCAACCTAGCTGTAAATACCACGCTCCAACCACCCTATTAAGGGTAAATGCAGAAGAGGCTAGCTAGTTAGGTCAATGCACTAACTACACTGCCACACTCAGGTTTCTGTTAACACTTGTGCAGTAAGTAATTGTGTTCCACATAATCTAATAACAGGCAGCAGATGTTCTAGTATTTAACCCCGAGAGATAATTTATCAGCTTTACTCTAACTGGGTTGATAAGGTTTAAAAAAAAAAATTACTTCATACTTCTTCAGGCCTTTGTTCTTTATTTGCGCTTTATAATCAACTGCTATTCTGGGTGCAGGAGCTCCATAGGGCTAGATTTTTGCCTGCCAGCCTGAAAGTCTAGGGTTCAGATCTGCATTGCGTTCGTTGTGTTCTTCTAAATTGACCATTTGTCTTCGGCTGACTCAGTCTAAAACAGGTACCAGATAATGTGGTAACTAAAACAGGTACCAGGTAATGTCATGGTAACTAAAACAGGTACCAGGCAATGTGGTGGTAACTAAAACAGGTACCAGGTAATGTCATGGTAACTAAAACAGGTACCAGGTAATGTCATGGTAACTAAAACAGGTACCAGGTAATTTCATGGTAACTAAAACAGGTAATGTCATGGTAACTATACCAGGTAATGTGGTGGTAAGTAAAGGCAGTTGGCCTGATGTTGACCACATCACCCACCAAGTGTCAGTTGGTCTAACAAATATAGGTCCAGCCCCAATATGCCTGAAGGTGTGGGGGGGGGGGGGATCAGTTACTTGTTTAATGTCATGGAAAGTAAATCAGCCAGTATGATGAGACCAGCCATATCACCGACTAGTTGAGCTGAGTTAAGAATTGACATCACAGCACTCGGGGCATTCCCATGCATGCTCTGTCCTCATCTTCAGCAGCCAGCGCAGAGTTCCAATACTAATGGTACCGGTCACAATCTGGTTAGATGTGTGTCTTGCTTTCCTCTGAGTGTAGTGAGCCGGCCAGACCCTCTGGTTACACCCAGGTGCCTCATTCTCTCCAGGCCATAACAATCTTCTTTCTCTACTGGTTCCATTGCTTGTTCCCAAAGGGCCTTGACCAAATCTGCCTTGTATGTATCAATTCACCACCCGGTGGTGCGGATCCAGCCAATCTGTCTGCCTGTTCATTACCCACCACGACAGCGTGGCCTGAAGAAAAGATCCAAAGTATGCTCGCTACCCGTTACCTTTCCAGTGAAGCTTACCCCATTGCTCAAAGTATCCATGTCTTCACCTTTCTCAGCATGCTTTCAGAGTCTGTATCATTTACGACAAGTGTATTCATGTTGTTCTCTAGCCACCGGAGAGCTGCAGTTATCGCCTCCACCTTCTTATGCTAGATGTTGTGGTGTCATGCTAGGCTGTCTTGCGCTAAAGATTTTCCTTTGGCTTTCAGTACGAACCTCTCAACGCTGAACCATCTGTATAGATAATCAGATCACCTGGGCATGAATTGTCGTGAATCAACTGTTGAACGTCAACCTCTGTAGCACCCGCTGGCCACTCTCTGCACACCTGGCCTAATGTGATCATAACCCTACTCGGGTCAGACTTTTCCGCAGGTATTTTGACCCACTCCTCTCCTCGACCAATGTTCTCCAGCATGCATACTAGTCACCAACTAGTCAATTGATATATCAAAAATTTGCCTGGCACTGAATGCCTGAGGCTCTAAAGGGGTCCCTTTCTTGTGTTTAAAGTTTGGGTTCGCTAGGCTACTGCTAGTTTTGTCTGAGATCGGCATCTGTGGCTTAGAAGTTATGAACCCAGTTTCATAATTGGATATACCAGGTCCCATTCTGCCGCAGGCACTTTAGCAGCACACCACTTTGCACTGATTTTGACAATTGTATGAGCACGGAATCATTGAGAAAGTAGTAGCCAATGAAGGCCCAAGAATTTGGTTATATTTTAGATAGTGTTTCTATTGTAGACATCATGTGTATTTCATTGCTAATGTCTTCAAAGTCAACATGTTGGAGTCTTAAAGAATAAAATTGTTTTTTTTTTTTCTTTCTTTGTCAGCTTGTGTTATTGTCAGTTTTTTTTTTTTTTTTTTTGGTGATACGCAACTAAGCAGTACCGGCACTCTTTAAAAAAATTCATTGTTGTAGCGCTAATGTAATAAATACTTTGTTGTAAGTACTTGCAATTTTTAAATTTTTTTTCCTGGAAAAATTCCTTGTTATTGTTGTTATAAAGGTGGCATAGAAATCACAGCATTAAGACCTTTAGAAGAGAGAGAACCCATTAGACCAGTGGTTCTCAACCTACCTAATGCCGCAACACTTTTATAGTTCCTCATGTTGTTCCCCAGCCATGAAATTATTTTTGTTGCCACTTGGTAACTTCAGTGAATATGTGTTTCCGATTGTCTTAGGCGACCCCTGTTAAATGGTAGTTTGACATCCAAAGGGGTCATTTCCCACAGGTTGAGAACCGCTGTATTAGACAGATGTTTCTCAAGAGCTTGCAATCAAGATAATAATATCACAGTAACATTTTTGTTATTCATTTATCTGTTGATCATTTGTTCCCCTTGTCTTTTGTTTTGCCTTTATCTCCTCCTGCTCCTCACCCTATCTCTTCTCCACCTGCCCCTTCTTTCTCTCTCTCTTTCCTCTCCACATTAATGGGTACCATCTTGTTTAATTATTGTGAAAAATATTTCCAGGTGTCATCAAGAATCCTGTGACTGTGTGGATTCAAAAGTTAACCACCAATTGCGGTTTAAATTCCTGAATGGCCATGAAAAAAAAATGAAGTTACACCATGAACTCGTTGACAGCTTCATCATGAATGCCAGATCTTAAAAAAGTTAACACTGCAGTCAGTGTTTGTTAACATCTAGCCATTGTTGTTCGACAGAACATTTGCTGCTGAAATCTATGCATATATTGGATTAGCATAGCTGTAATTGTTGTGAAACTTTCAAATACTTCATACACAGCTGATTGGAAATTATGGATTAAAAACAGCTGTCTTTATATGACGGATTAGCAGTAATCTACACGGATTAACACAACAGTGCTTTGTGTAGGAGTCATAATCCAGGGCTTTAATGCCAGACGTTTGCGTACAGATTCCATCCACTTCAGCAACACTGCTTCTTCTTCTCCCTTGCACCTCTCTGCAGTGTCAGCACACCGGAAAAAACGAATGCACTCAACTGGCATGCGGTGCGTAACTTTATGTTCCGCAGCAAGCGAAGTTCACTCGTGAAGCGCTTGTGGAAATACAGAGTAAATGATGAAACCAAGAGTTCGTCTCAAAGAGACACATCGACCGCACCACTGCAGCCAGACAGCACCACATCATTTCACGAAGATATCGAGTTCAAATCTGTCACTAATTCATTTTTGAAAAGACTAAAGGAGGACCAGCTGGAAGCTCTAGTCCAAGCGATGGAGTCTAGGGGAGGTGAGGTGACGCCTTGTGTGCCTGTTGCCAAATCATTTTTACGAATTGGGAGACTGATGGTGTCTCCATATGTCCTATGCTGCAGAGTCTTTCGTTGGCCAGATTTGAAATCAGATGCGGACATGAAACGGTTGCCTTCCTGCATGCGGCAAAATGAGGATAAGGAGGCGGTGATATGCTGCAACCCTTACCACTGGAGCTTGGTTGTAAAGATTGGTAAGTTTGGTAATAATTTTGTTGTGTCAGATTTCATTCTTCCAGTGTAGAGCTGGGCTATTCGACTGGCAGTTCACAGCCACAAGTGGCCCACAGAGGCCTAGTAAGTCCCCCTCAAATCCTTGCCATTTGTACTGTAGTAATGATGTTTCTGTGCTGTGGCTTGTGTGTCTGGCCTGTGATGATCCCCCATTCTTGAAACTTTGGCTCCTGAGTAAACTTAGATGAATAGCCCTGGTGTAGAGATTCTGTCATATCTGGTGATAGTGATACATGTGAGGTTTAGGTTTCTTCCTCTTCCTCTTTGTCTTCTTTAATTTCTACTTGTGCATCTGGGGTCTTCATGGTGAAGTGTGCTGCACTCTGAAGGTCGTGGGTTCGTTTCACATTCAATGAGACGGAGCCATCTGGGATAAATCCCAGTAAAATGAACTAGATCCTGTCTACTTTAACTTTGAAAGCTTCATCTTCTTCAGCGCTTATCATTATTAGAAGGACAACAGGGATGTTGTATTGTGGTTTACAGCTAGGATGTTATATCTGTTCCTTTCGCCCCAGCAGAAATAAACCCAAAACATCCAGTTTTTGCAAGCCTCTGATAAGTCACCTTTTATGACATGGTGGGGGGGGGGGGGCAGTGGGTCCATTCCTCCCCTTCCCCCACCTCTTCCAGTAAAAGGGCCACAAGACCCATACAACAAGGGATAGCCCAATATGCCTCAGAGCCTAGAAATTAGATCTTCAGTTTGCTTTAACTTAGCCTCAACTATAGTGGAAAGAGTGATGCAGGAAGACATTGAGGAGAAGAGTCTTGGCAGCCCTTTTTTCTTTCTAACCAGTGTGGGTTCTGTGGCCCCAATTTGGGGAAGACAAGAATATACCCACTGCCTCTGCAGCATGTCGTATGAGTTGGCTGATTGAGGGCATCCTCCAAAGTTGGAGTAGATCTGCATGAGAGGCTAGGAACCAAGAGTCTGCATACAAATTAGTCAAAATTGTGAAATGGATGTGCACACAACACTCAGAACCGGAACAAGATTAAAGTCCACAAGTTGATGAAAACCCAGAACTTTCCACCAGAGTTCACAGCCAGTGAATATGAAGAAAAAAAAAATAAGACAGCGTTTTGTTATGGCATTGAAGCTTATGGGCACACAAGCTGATGGTGCTGTTGGAAATAACAAGTTACGGAAAGGCATTATCACCCATGCCAGTCAGCAAAGCATTTAATGCTGGTGATGATGATAGTGTTAACACACACTTACTTACATGGCCATTAGAGAAATCATCATTATGTTTTTGTGTCTATTCCAAGGTCCTACCATACTGTGTGATATATGTGTGTGTATAATCTTTCCTTTTTCTGCTTACTTTTCCTTTACTCTCTTTACTTTTGTGTGTGTACTACTTCCTTATGCGAGTGGTGTTGTTTCCATGCTACTGCGAGTGAACAGTTTTCCTTCTGTTTTAAAAGCTGATGTGTATACGGCTCAGTTGCACAACAAGAGAATGGTGCCTAATCATCATGAATCAGGTACTGCTCTCTTCCCATCCCATATCTCATAGCACTTCAGTCTGCCTATCTACCTTTTCTCTGTCTCCTTCTCTCACTGTCCTCCCTGTTTCCTCATGCCAGTTATCAGTGAATGCCACTTAATGTATGAATTGATTTATGGTGGTGATCTGTTTCATGTTTTATTTATCTTCCAATCACCACAGATGAACCTCCAGTACATCCACAGAGAAATGAATTAGGTGATAAACATGAGGGTAAGCTGTCAGTGCAAATGATTGTCTGTGTGCATTATTGTTCTGTTGAGTACGACTACAAAAATCCACTCTTTGTGTTGAGTAGACCTGATACCACCACACTAAGGGTTGTCATGTTAAATAGAACTGATAATACCATGTTTGCAGTCTTGTTGAGTCGAACTACTGCCAGCCACACTTTGGTGTGTGTATTTAATAGAACATCCCTGTATGGGTGCCAGGACCCCGTTTGGAGGAGGGGATAGACCCATTGCCTCCCTGACAAGCATGTCATAAAAGTCGACTAATTAGGGAGTTTCCTACGAAGTTGGAGTTCATCTGCCTGAAAGACGAGGAGGCAACAGTCTTCTCACAATTGAATGAACTGAACTGAATTTCTACCCCACCAGGACATCACACAAGCGATAAACACCCGATGACACAAAGTGCCACCATGTGGATGAGGTTCGCCGTGGAGAGGTCCCAGAAACCGCGTTCAGACATTTGGCCATATATGGCCTGCCTATATTGCGGCCCCTGGCAAAAGCCAGAGTAGGGCTTCAAATGACAAAAAAGTTCGTCCTAAGAAGGACGAAGTTAGAATAACATGTACCCACAGGTTAATTCTTCTCACAATTAAGCCAGATGTGTTATTAATTGCACTAAGAATTAAGTTCTGGAACATGACTAAAATCCAGAAGTAGATGTACGTCTAGAACTTGCCGTCGGAGTTTACAGCCAGCAGTCTTGAAGAAGAAGAAGAATAGAAATGCTACCACTACAAATAGGGGTGATCTGTTGAGTATTACTGTGATACCACCAAACTTAGCTTTGTTGTGTTGGGTAAAAATGATACTTACCACACGTAGCATCGTCTTGTTTAGTTGAACTGATACCCCAAAAAAACTTTACGGTATTTGGTTGGCCTAAAATACTGCCACCACACTTATGTTGTCTTGTTGAGTAGAACTGATACCATAAACACTGCATGGTATTTGTTTGACTAAAAATACCGCCACCACACTTAGGTTGCTGTATGTTAAGTAGAACTAATACCACCAAATTAAGGATTGTGTGGTTGAGTAGAACTCATAAAATCACACTTACCATCTGTTGAGTAGAACAACCACCACACTTAGGTTTAGGTTTAAACAGCGAATCAACATCATGACACAAAGGTAGTAACCCATGAGTGCTCTGTTCTTCTTCTAACTCAAGCCTGAAACACTTCATGTTATTTGGTTGACTAAAAATACACCACCACACTTAGGTTGCCTTGTTGAGTAGAATTGATACCACCACATTTAGGATTGTTTGGAGTATAAGTGATACCATTGTGCTGAGGGTTTGTGGTGGAGTAGAAATGGTACTACTACCCTCATGGTTGTGTGGTCAGGTAGAACTGATACCACCACACTCAGGGTTGTGTTTTTGGTTGAACTGATACCACCACACTCAATGGTTGGGTAGAAGTGATAACACCATAGGTAGGGTTGTGTGGTTGGGTAGAACTAATACTATCATGGTTACTGTTGTGTGGTTGGGGTAGAACTGATGCCACCACACTTACATTTTGTGTGATTGGGTAGAACTGATGCCACCACGGTCACTGCTGTGTGGTTGGATAGAACTGATACCACCACACTTACTTTTGTGTGGTTGTGTAGAACTGAGACCACCACGCTTATGTTTGTGTGGTTGGGTAAAACTGATAACCACCTCAATTACCTTTGAGTTAAACTGCTAGCATTATACTTAGGGTTGTGTTGAATTGATACCACCATACTTATAGTTAGTTTTGGGACTGGCATCATATATGCATTACAAGGTGTGTGATTATTTTCTTTGTTTGTTAGCTTAAGGACTGTTGTTGTTCACAGATGGATACCCCAAGATTTTAGAGCCAACAGATACAGGACACAGTTTATGTGGGCATCAAGAGGATCTGTCTGGTAAGGTTCACCTTGTTCTAAATTTACTGTGCCAGGGTGATATGTTGGTGTAGACTTCTTGTAGTGGACAGTAGATTTGCCACCACAGTGATCTGTCACATATGACATACCTCTTGTCTTGTATCTGTTAACAAGGTCAGGTAGTTTATGTGACTTATCACAACTGTGATCTGTTAGGTGTGGTTTATCTTTGTACGGTTTTAAGGGCACCACGTTTGACTTTTTGTTTGTTGGTTTTTTTTGTTTGTTAAATACAAAAAAAGGGGGGGGGGGAATCCTGGATAACAGACCATTATCAAGCATGCTATAAAAGGCGACTAATTAGGTGCTGTTGACTATGTGGGTTTCAGTCAAGGAGTCATTTTTCTAACTTATCTATCTACTTGACCTGCCTGTCTACATTATCTGCTTGCTTACTTGGCCTAACTGATGATCTGCCTACTGCTCTGTTTACCTTATGTTTGGCCTCTCTACGTAACTTGCCTTGTCTGTCTGCTTCTTCTCTGCCTTATTGTCTGTCTACTTCTTCTCTGCCTTACTGGTCTACTTCTCCTTACCTGTCTACTTCTCAGCCTTACCGGTCTGCTTCTCTGCCTTACTCAACTGCTTCTCTGCCTTACTCAACTGCTTCTCTGCCTTACTGTCTGTCTACTTCTTCTTTGCCTCACTGGTCTACTTCTTCTCTGCCTTACTGGTCTACTTCTCTACCTTGCCTGTCAACTTCTCTACCTTGCCTGTCTACTTGTCTGCCTTGCCTTTATCTACTTCTCTGCCTTGCCTGTCTACTTGTCTGCCTTGCCTGCCTACTTGTCTGTCTTGCCTGCCTACTTCTCTGCCTTGCCTATCTACTTCTGTGCATTTTTGCTTGCCCTACCAAGTGTGTGTAGATCCAAATGATGGAGGTTAATAGCGATTTCCAAATGAATGCTTTCTACCTATTCAGAGTGTAAACTGCCTGTTTCTGAAGCATGCTGATGGAGTCAGAAACTATTACTGCATGTGTGACCACTTGTTCTGCTACCCAAGACTGTAGGCCCCCAGACTGTAGTCCCTGATAACACTGACACAAGTGCTAGATAAAGAAGCAAAAGTAGGCCTTGTTCACTATTTTCAGATGCCATCGTCTTTGGTGCCTGGTACTTGGCTTTAACTATGACATTGACATTGTCTACTTGATTTTCTTGTGTGACCAGCATATGTTGAATTCATGTCCAGGCATTTCATCCTGTTCATTCTCTGTATACTGCACATGAGGACGACTGGTATACTGACAGTGTGGGTATTCAAGGAAAACAATGTTGAGAAGGCCTTTGTCAAACTATCCTGTGCTCTCTATGGCACAACCCATTGCGTCTCTCTAGTTCATTCTGTTGCGTGGTTGTCATTTCATGCCTCTTTCTTCCTCGTTGGTACTCAGGGCTTATCGTTTTCTGCGGCAGTTTCCATTCTTTTTCTGGAAGTCCTCATACATGTCGTAAGCAATACCAGGCCACTTTTGCCGGCCTATCTACCTTCTTGCCTACCTTACATTCTTTGTTTTACCTGCTTGTCTGCCTAACCTGTCTGTCTCTGCCTGTTCGCGTGCTTGTCTGCCAACTTTAATATCTTGATTACATGCCCAACTTTCTGCATATATATATATATATATATATATATATATATATATATATATATATATACACACACACACACACACACACAAACAAAGCTATGACTGTCTTATTTCGTTTTTTAGTTCTTCCTACCTAACTCCCAAAAATCCCCATACCGCTATTCTGTTCCACGCTCCCCCTACTGTTGTACATTATTTGCAAAGATATTCATGTTTTCTAACCGCCAGCCTAAGAATACACGGCCCTGACTGACGGCCGTGTGTTGAGATATCACCGCGGGGTTCAGGAGAGGTGGGTGAGGCTCTTCGCCACAGAATGTAATGGAGGAGGTGGATGGGGCCAGGACATTAAGCTTTCAGTTATATTGTATGCAGAGAATTTTATCGCTTTCTGTTTTGGGAAGAAGAAAAGGGTCGAAGGTTAGCCATGAAGATATTCCTCAGTATGTGCGTGAACTAACTGTGTTTTGTGGAAAGCTTGCATCTTCTACAAGGCAGTTTTGCTGTAAAGCATTCTATCTGAAACAGTTGTTTTTCAAACAACGCCACCATTATGCAAATGGCTCTTACGAGAGGGTCGCCATTGCCATAGGTTGCGACTGCCATGCCTAGCTATGGCACACTGTAATGCGGATCGGTACCAGCAACAGGTGTGAAGCGCTGGGCTACACCACGACTATTTTCATCCTATTTCGCCAAATCTGGCTCGCGGAACCCTAGCAAGTGGCTCATTGCCAGTTGTATTAATGATCTTGCTTAGACATATACTCAGAAGGAGATCGGGGCGCTTTTGGTCATGTTCGATGTGCGACAAAGATGATCTTTAACTGACCACTGGCCAGTAACCATCTTTTTTTTCCTTCTTCAAAATGTCGGTTGCAGGGGGGAAATATAGTTCAATAGCCCTGGACTACACCATGTGGGGGTGACACACCCCTTTCTCTTGTCAGTTCATTCCTGGAAATTGTCTTGTACCCCATTTTATGAGGCTGGATTGACTCCATAGCCACACTGGCAGTCATTTAAAAAAACGGATAGGCTTCCTTTTGATCTGGGAGCAGGTATAGTCCCCCCATTCCTACATTACATGCGTGAGGCGTTGGTAATAATGTCGTCTGCAGTCTTCAGTCTCACCTAGTGTCAGTGTGTATTGTACAAACATTCCTCTGTGCAGTGATGTCTAACTGTTTTGTGTCTCGAATTCTTCCACTATTCCTCTTCTCCCAGCATTCCTGTTATCTGATGTTCTTAACTCCATAATGAGGGTTTAAGGATTGAAACGAACGTTGACCAGGTCATGTAGTTTGTTCTGGAAAAAGTTGTCTGGGAAGAAAGATCTGACCAGTTTCATCCCCACCCCCTTTCCCCCTTCGCCATGTGGGTTCAACGATTCACAAAGGAATGAAGGTCTGATCTATCGATCCAGCTGCCTAATTTGGGCTCAGGAAAGCTCTGTGCAACAACTTTATAGAGTAGAACGATCGGATTGACCCAGTCTGCGCCCATGGGTCCAAGAAATATTTCAGAGAAGGAGGAATCTGGTCAATAAAGCTCCCTAATGTAGATGTTGGAAATTTGTCTAGACTTGTTGATTCCTCACATATCAGTGGTGGCCAGCCTCGTAAGGTTTGAGGGCCAGATTTCATCACAGAAATCATCAGCGGTCTGCTTTATAGATAGATTATAGTCGAGAGATAGATTAATGAAGAAGACCTAACAAAGGACAAGAATAAGGATAGGCTCCTGGCTACCTCCCTTGGCTTGACGGTCAGTTGGTAGTAGGCCGTGTTGGTCACCCCGTCATACCTCACCATTCTTTCCAAGTCGGAGTACATCTGCCGGCGAGACAGGTAATGGCAGACAAATAAGCCAGTAAAACGGATGTACACGCAAAACTCAGGTCCGGGTAAAAGCCAAAAGTCCAAATGGACGAACTACCGGTACCTTCCGCGGGAATTCACAGCCGGTGAACGAAGAAGAAGAAGATATATAAACACATAATACCGGGAATTGATAACGGCATTTAGTTAGAAGGTACAACTGTTTCAGTTACTGGCTGACGCCAAGCTATCAGTCTGACGTCGATGGTTTTCTGATCATTACTGCCTACTCCTTCTTTTTCTGGCCATTACTGTCCACTGATTGGCGTCTCATCGTTGAACTATTTAGCTGTTGCATAAACCTGTATGGACAGATTTCTCGTGGGATGATACGAGCGCGCTTGAATACAGGAGAGATGTTTCCAACCGTTCCAAACACCATACCTCAGTGAGTCTTGGTCCTATTTGTTACCACCTGCCGGGTATCGGGTAGTCGCAGTTCCAGCTTCTTAGCTAACGCGCCACCCCATAGTTGTTCGCGCCACCCCATAGTTGTTCGCGTCACACCATAGTTGTTCGCGTCACACCATAGTTGTTCGCGTCACACCATAGTTGTAGTTGTTCGTGTCACACCATAGTTGCGCGGTGTCAGCGAAAACAACACAGAATGCCCACCAGTGCCCCTTGTGGAAAACTTCATACAAACTGTAGCCTTGCCAAATCCAATAGCATACACACGCATTCAAATGCACAAGGCAGCCGTCAGAAGTGTCATCGCAAACCCTCCGACACTAAAAATGCAGTTCATCATCAATGGAAGAAGTAGTTTTTAGTCTACTTATGGAGAAAAGAAGAAACGGCCGACAATTGTCACGACAAAAACAGTAAGCTGCCCATCCTCTATATTGTCCGGAAGTCTTTTATCGCCTGTTTCTAAGCCCAACTCTGCCACGTTACCGTATATTTTTTTGGATAGCTTGAGCAAATTGTATGGTTTCACGAACGATCTTACAACGGTGGTCTACAGAGGGGTGGAAAAGGGGGGGGGGGCGCATAACATACCCCGAAGACGAATTTTACCCCACAGTCACGTAATCAGGCTAGCGTCAAAGACTTTCATTATTTCAAAAGAATAAGTGTGCTGTTTGTAGAACTTGACTTCTGCGACCCAGGAGAACAGAGTTGATCACCACACCTCATAAAGGTGTCACCGAGAATTAGCAAACACCTGACACCTGGGCGCTGGATCTGGCTGACAAGAGTTGCGTGGTTTTGTATTTTATTGAACACTCAAGCCACGGGTAGGACATTTGGTCCTCTTTTCTTGTGGTGAACTGTTGCTGCCTGTGGAATCGAGATTTGCGTGCCCAGCCTGACACCTTTAACGGCCTGTCCTGCAACAAGTCGTCGTGGTTTTCTGACCATGACCTATTCCTACTGCAACTTTTAAATCACTTTGGCCTCTTCGGGGCCAGGGAACTCTCCGAATTTAAGTTGTCATAAAGTCAGTAGAACAGAGCCACTTGAGTTGTAGTTGGTTCTTTGTTTATCTGGTGTTTACATTTCTT